GGGGTCTGGCAGGGCGTCCAGTCCACCTCATCTTTCCCTCGGCGGTCGATGTGGTCCTCATCTTTCCCTCATTTCGTTCGGATTCATTCGTTTTTCTCATTTATGACGGATGGTTTTCCCCTCATACCGACTGAGAAATGGAGAGTAAGTTCGCCGTACGTCTTTTCGTCCAAAAAGTTTAGTGAGTTTTTGAATTCGGTCCGCGGGAAGAGCCAGTGAATAACGAAAGAGTTTGGTGTTTTGGTGGGACGCTGTGCACGGGGTCGCGTCTAGGGGCGTGTTGTGTTTGTTTATGTTTATGTTTATGTCCTCGAAGCAGAAGGGCCGCTCTGGTCACGAATATATCCGGGATTACAGTGAACGTTTACGACTCGGCAGGAAAGTTGTCGTGACGAATTACCGACTTTTCCCCCCCACCTGGGCGACAAGACGCGTGCCTTTGCGAGGCCTTTGTCTAGCTCGAGCGACGCTGAGGAAAGCGTTGCTCGCCGTTGCCATGACAACACGACGCAGCCCTCCCTCCCTCCTCCCCTCCCGTCCGTCCAGCTCCCATCCCTGCCATAAGACCGAAACGATGACGTCACGCCCAACATGTGACGTCATGGATCCGTGACGTCATCGCTCACCTCAACCTTTCCCTCGGATTCAAAATGGCGACGGGGCTCCACCTCGAGCAGTACCTCGATAGTAAGCCTTTCTTCCCCGTTCTCCTCCCCACCAGGGGCCTTTCCGACGCCCTGGACCTTAGCACGGACACAGACATGACAGAAAGAACAGAAACCATGCCCCAGAACTGGAAGAAAATGAATGAAATGGCGATGACAAGTGTTTGCGCGGGAAAGGAGTTTTCAAGACGACCATCCTTCTCATTTGAGAAAGTGACAAGAAGGGAAATTATAAGCTTGTGTCTGAACTCATTAAAACCTCGAATTTGATTTGCTAATTTCTGTGTTTAAACCGTTTTCCCGTATCTAAAACGAAAACAGAAAATAGAGGATTCCATTTTTGGGAACTTTGAAATTTGATTTTTTTGTCCTCTTTTTGTTATTGTTATTGTAAAACTATAGGTGTTTTTATTTGTATGTTATGTAATATATAATCTATTGAAAGTTTACAAAGAATTTATTTTATGTCACTTTACCATGGTTGTTTAAAATATTTTATTTTTATTATTACCATTATTATTATTATTATTATTTTAGAATGTTCATTGTATTTTACTTCATCAATCAAGCCAATCATTTAAATTGTGAATCATGTAATGTTTATATAATTTTGTTATTATATTAAAACATGAACATGATATTACATATTTTGCCGTAAATTTTCATTACTATAGGCCTAGTCTAAATTGATATTCTAAACATCAATTTCATTAGAACCATCAAAATCGTCGAACGTAATTAATGTTTCAGAGGCGCCCATAATGGCTCTGAAACCAGAATTATTTTCTTATAATGATTTCCAATGTATTTTCTCAACGTTCACTTAATTCTTGGTTTTCTCTGGGGTGGCTGGCTTGCGATCTACGAGCCCAGTGCGAAACGAGGGCAAGTTCTATGTTGCTTTGGCCCTCCACCTCTTTGGCACTTTGGCAAAGGACAAGATGCCCATTCTATCAGGATGAAGGTTCTCTTGTGTATATATCCTTATATGATGATGGTAAAACACTAGGGTAGAAGGCCATGGGTTTTATTTTGCAAGAATATATTATTAGTTTTATTTTTGCCTTTACTAGAGTCCCACTTATATCCTTGGCTAATGCCAAGGATATAAGTGGGACGTGGGTGTCAAGCTTAAGGTTGGCTAGGGAACGTTTTCCTTTAGTCAAGCAGGGGTAGGACCAAGACTGTGATTTTGCGTAATGGAAGAATCGCTACTCCAAACTACAATTTGATTACCATATGGTACTGAATTTTGCATGGTAATTGATACAAGGCTTCCAACTTCAGGAGTCTTGTGTCAGTGATGATGTTACTCGTGTGTATGTGATAACTAGGCAGTACTAATTAAGGCAGCCGCACTACATATACCCGAGGGAATTATAATTTGTATAAGCTTTCTGCTAAAATTTGAATAATTTATTTGTCAGTACCATGGATTACGATTTATTACCAACACAGTCTCTGCAGCGGCATTGATTACAGTTTACATGTTTTGATGGTAGTGAAGGTGTTAAAAGAGGGATAGTAAGGAAGAGGATATCAAATTTAGGATAACATTATATGTCATATATCATATTTGAGTTTCAGGGAAATTTCTTTTTTCATGATTATATTTAATGTGAAATTGTCGTGGGTAATGAAGAATATATAGAAATGACAGGAGAACTAAAGAAAAAGTAAAGAAAAAATATATGGAAAATAGTTTAAGCTGTGTTTAATTGTTATCTACAGTTGTTGCTTTTAGGAATGACAGCCATATATATATTATGAAAGAATTAAGAGAGAGATCAATTTTCTTATTAAGATTTATTAACCCATTGCTGCTGGGTACATGCACTGTCTAATTGGGATTTCCTTTGTGAATTCTGTTTGCAAATCTGTAATACAAGTACTCAGCCACTGGATTTAATAACATATCGCTACCAGATACAGTAAATGATCAATTTGGTTTTCTTTTTTTAATTTTATTTGTACATAGATGGCTTCATATGTTCTCTGTCACCAAAATGCAAATTATTAGACCTGTGTGACCTTGCCAATTTTCCCCTTTTATCAAGTATTATTATTATTATTATTATTATTATTATTATTATTACCATTGTTATTATCATCATTGTTAATATTATTATGATTACTAGTATAATTTTTTTTTTATATTATCCTCACTTAGCGTCCCTGCTTATTAAGTTTTTATTTTATTTTATTTATTTATTTTTTATTCCATAGAGATAAATGTTATTGTTATGGCCTTTATGGTTATCATAACATTATTAACAATGCTAATAATTATGAAATAGGTTTAGTAATTAACTCCTTGGTGATATGAGTACTAGCCTAGTAAATACCTGTTTAAAGAGAAATTATAAAAAAAAGTAGACTCAGCATTAGTGAATTGAATCATTATGTGTAATATACATGCTTCTTTTCTCTCTTTTTATTTTTTTCTGTTTATTTATTTTCCATTTTCATCTCCTTACTGTATAATTCTCCTTTTAGCTTTTTTTTTTTTTTTTATCTGTCCCGAGATACCCTGATTATACACTGAAAAATGTATTTTCCTCCGCCTCCTCCATTTCCTCCTCATTCGTTAATACAGGTTCTTCTATTTGTTCAGATGATTTTGGTTTTGAGATTCTTAACATTACCATTCAAAGCTGCCGTAACATTTGTAATTAAATTATGCAAAGTCCGTCATTGCAATTAACCTATGGTATAATCTCTTTCAGGTTTAGAAAATTTGCCGACAGAACTGCAACGCAATTTTCATCTAATGAGAGATCTCGACCAAAGAGCTCAGGATGTTATGCGGAATATAGACCAGGTAAGCTTGTGTTATTTTTGAGTATCGACGTAGGTAATATACTGTAATAATGTAATTCCTGTACTATGATATAAATGTAATTTGACAATGTGATGTATAAAGTAAGAGCGATGTAGTCTATATAAAGTGATACTGTATAACCTTTATTGTACATGATACCCTGTTGTTTTATAGTATTGAGATGAAGGTAATAGCCCTAAATGATATGTTCAAATAACTCTGTAGCACATCATAGACTTGCCCCTCTTCATTGGTCCTTTTAAAATCCCAAGTAATTCATTGTTTAATGAAGATGTCTCTGATTGGAAATTTTCAAACAGCATAAGAAAATGTGGGTATTTATGAATATAAAACAGTATATAACCGGGTGCACCTGCATGGTATGAGTGAAAGGAAGAAAATAATAAGAATATTCTAGCGAGCCCTGAGTATATCCTTTTTTCTCACACCTCGCTTCAGATTTCAGATGAGTACCTGTCAGGCGTCAAGGGCCTAAGCCCAGAAAAGCGCTCAGAGCAGATGAGCAAGATCCAGAAGATGTTTAACAGAGCCAAAGAATATAGCGATGACAAAGTGCAGCTTGCAATTCAGACCTATGAGTTGGTAAGATTTTTTTTTTTTTCTCTCTCCCTTTTCTACTCCTTTTCCTCCTCTTCCTTCTTCTCCTCCTCCTATTCGTCCTCCTCTCATCCTCATCCTTATGCTCATCCTCTCTTCTCTCCTCCTCCTCTCCTCCCTCCTCTCCTCCTCCTCCTCCTCCTCCTCCTCCTCCTCCTCCTCCTCCTCCTCCTCTCCTCTCCTCCTCTCCCTCCTCTCCTCCTCTCCCCTTTTCCTCCTCCCTCCTCTCTCTCTCTTTTCCTCCTCCCCCTCCTCTCCTTTTCCTCTCCCCCTCTCTCCCTTTTCCTCCTCCCCTCTCCCTCCTCCCCTCCTCTCCTTTTCCTCTCCCCCTCCTCTCCCCCTTCCCTCCTCCTCTCCTCCTCTCCCCTCCTCTCCTCCTCCTCCCTCCTCTCTCTCCTCCTCTCCCCTCCTCTCCCTTCTCCTCCTCTCCTTCTCCTCTTCCCCCTCCTCTCCTCTCCTCCTCTCCCTCTCCTCTCCTCCTCTCCCTTTTCCTCCTCCCTCCTCTCCTCCTCCTCCTCTCCCTCCTCTCCCTTTTCCTCCTCCCCCCATCCCCTCCTCTCCCTTTTTCTCCCCCTCCTCTCCCTTTTTCTCCTCCTCTCTCCCTTTTTCTCCTCCCCTCCCTCTCCCTTCTCCTCCTCCTCCTCCTCCTCCTCCTCCTCCTCCTCCTCCCTCCTCCTCTCCTCCTCCTCTCCTCCTCCTCCTCCTCCTCCTCCCTCCTCCTCCCTCTCTCCCTTCTCCTCCTCCTCACCTCTCCCTTCTCCTCCCCCTCACCTCTCCCCTCCTCCTCCCTCACCTCTCCCCTCTCCTCTCACCTCTCCTTCTCCTCCTCCCTCCCCTCTCTCCTTCTCTCCTCCTCCTCTCCCTCTCCTCGCTCACATGCCTCATCCTCCTCTTCCTCCTTCTCATTCTTCCTCCCATCTCCCCTCTCCTCCTTCCTTCCCCCTTTCTTTTTTCATTACTTCTAGACCTTCTTTCTATTTTTTATTTAATTTTTGAGTTATAGAATTGTAAGTAAAATACTTTTACTTTTTTACTTTTATTAGAGAATTATCCAGGTGATTTTCTTAGAAATTCTTCCACCCTCAGGTTGACAAACACATAAGAAGACTGGATTCCGACCTTGCGAAATTTGAAGCGGAAATAAAGGAGAAAGCGTTAAATAATAATAAAAAGGAAGAGGACACAAGTAGTAAAAAGAGTGAGTTTTTACATTTTGGTCTAGTAGTTTTAGTTTTAGTTATCATTATTTTCTCTTTTTGTGGTCCCCAAGGTTATTGGTAAGGGAATTATGAAATTTAGATCTTGTCAATTTGGCTGACTGAATAGAGGCTTCACATAAGAACATTGGATTTTGTGAAGGATCATGTATGATATATTGCACTGGAAAAAAATGCCGGTTGAAGTAATTCCATTTCTATTTTTTGGCAGAGGGGAGAAAAAAGAAAGAAGAGAAGGGTAAGCATAAGAGAAAAGGTGTCAACCAGTCAGACGAGGAGGAGACGACCCCCAAGCCAGGCCGGAAGAAGCAGAAAAAGAAGATGGAGACGGATTCAGCCAGCAAGTCAGTCATTCCTTGCCTGTCCATTGCGCACCCTTCAGACGTTATGGACATGCCAGTTGATCCTAATGAACCTACGTACTGCCTCTGCCACCAGGTGTCTTATGGCGAGATGATTGCCTGTGACAAGATGGATGTAAGTACCGCCAGGATAAATTTAACATTTGGTAGTTTTAAGAAGTTTTGTGCATATAATGGGAGGAATTTTAATTTTTTTCTGTACGTTTGTTTCTGATTTAGAGATTAGTAAATTTAATAATTAGTTAATCTCCTCTCTCCCTCTCCTCCCTCCTCCCTCCCTCCCTCCCTCTCTCCCTTCCTCCTCCCTCCTCTCCCTCCCTCTCTCCTCCTCTCTCTCCCTCCCTCCCTCTCTCTCTCCCTCTCTCTCTCTCTCTCTCTCCTCCTCTCTCCCTCCCTCTCTCTCTCTCTCCTCCTCTCTCTCCCTCCTTCCTCCCCTCCTCTCCTTCTCCTTCCTTCTCCTCCCTCCCTCCCTCCCTCCTCCTTCCCTTCCTTCCCCCTCCTCCCTCCCTCCTCTCCTTCCCTCCCTCCCTCCCTCCCTCCTCCTCCCTCCTCCCTCCTTCCTCCTCCCTCCTCTCCTTCCCCCTCCCTTCCTCCCTCCCTCCTCCTCCCTCCCTCCTTCTCCTTCCCTCCCTCCCTCCTTCTCCTTCCCTCCCTCCTCCTTCCTCCTCCCTCCCTCCTCCCTCCTCCCTTCCCTCCCTCCCTCCTTCTCCTCCCTCCCTTCCTCCCTCCTCCTCCTCCCTTCCTCCCTTCCTTCTCCTTCCTCCTCCCTCTCCTTCCCTCCCTCCCTCCCTTCCCTCTCCCTCCCTCCTTCTCCCTTCCCTCCCTCCTCCCTCCTTCCCCTCCCTCCCTCCCCTCCCTCCCTCCTCCCTCCCTCCTCCCTCCCTCCCTCCCTCCTCCCTTTCCTCCTTCCCTCCTTCCCTTCCTCCCTCCCTCCCTCCTCCTCCTTCCCTCCCTCCTCCCTCCTTCTCCCTCCCTCCTCCCTCCTCCTCCCTCCCTCCCTCCCTCCTCCTTTTCCTTCCTTCCATCTTCACCCTTTCCCTTACTGAAATATTAATCCCACCTTTGCCTCTTCCAGTGCCCAATCGAGTGGTTCCACTTCGCCTGTGTCGGACTCACCACAAAACCGAAAGGAAAATGGTACTGTCCAAAGTGTTCAACAGAGAGAAAGAAAAAGTAGTGTCGCGGACCAATGACTTTTTAGGAGAGATGTTTAAATTGCGCTATTTTCGAAAATAAATTATTAAAATGAAAAAATAAAAAGATAGATAATAAATGAGTGAATGAATAAATAAATAAAATAGATATTAGGTTAGGACTGTTATTTGTTGTATAGGTCTCATTTTTCAGTGAGGAATTTTTAAATAGATAGCGGAAGATTAGTGTTCAAGGGCTAGTGATTATATTAATGGTTGCCGGTAGATTTCTAGACTTCTTACAAAATACATCTAGTTTTGAATACAATCATGATACAGTATTATAATTTATAAATTCTTCCAATCTCACGTAACTATTTTTCATGCCATTTGATGCTCCCTTTTATTTATTTATTTATTTTTTCTTTCTTTTATAATGGCTGATCAAAAGGTATATAAAAGAAAAGTATATAAAAAAGTGGAAATTACATTCTTATTTCCCTGTGACTTGCAAGACTTTTTAAATATTTTAAAATCTTGCATGTGGAAAAATGCGATGAAACACAAGTAGGCTTCCTTTTTTTTTTTTTTTTTTTTGTTTTTTCTTTTTTCTTTCCTTTTATAGTTAGTCCCTAAAGGTTAGAGATTAGTCATATTTTTTTATCACTAGGCTAGGAGTTTTAGCGAACAAAACAGTGTGCAAGTTCTATTTTAACCATATTTTGTAGACAGAAAGGGATATTTTATGATCGAGTAGTCTTTATCTCTTCGTTTCTCTTACTTTTATGTTTACTAGATTTTTTTTTTTTTTTTTTTTCATATTTCAATGTCATTTGTTTATATGATTGTTTATGCTTATTTGTTATTTCTTTTTGTTTTTCTATTATTATTTAATCTGTTATACCTGATACTTTTTATATATGCATTGAAACACATAAGATGAGAATGTCATAATGGTATATAAAGGAAATGAAGTGAAGTAATAAAAAATGGTAGATTTTTACACACACGTACACACACACACACACGCACACGCACACACACACACACACACACACACACACACACACACACACACACACACACACACACACACACACACACACACACACACACACACACACACACACACACACACAGAGACATGCATACACACGTACACACGTACACACATACGCACACGCACGTACACACATACGTACACACACGTACACACATACGCACACGCACGTACACACATACGCACACGCACGTACACACATACGCACACGCACGCACATTCGCACTTATGTACACACATACGCCCATGCATGTACACACATACGCGCATGCACGTACACACATACGCACACGCACTTACACACAACACACACACACACACGCACACGCGCATGTACACACACACACACACACGCATGTACACTCACACACATATGTATATATAAATAAATGGAATATGGATGCTTTTTGACAGCCATTTTTTGCCTTATTTGTACAAGAACTCTATCATAGCCTATATCATTCCTTTTTCTTTTTGATCTCAGAAATGTAAGAGAGGATTTCTTTTTTTTATATACATATATATATATTTTTTGAGAGTGCGAAGTCCATGTCAATATTGCTCATTCAATGTCTTCTGTATTTGTCGAGAAATAAATGTTTTATTGTTGGTATAGTATAGCCTGTGATTACCCTGGATTGGTGTTTGGTAGGGTGGCTTCTGGTATCCTCATTTCACATGGGAAATATTCTCAAGTGAACAAATTGGCAGCCTCTTAAAAACAGGATTGTAAGTGAAACATTATAAGTGATTCTAAGCTCTTTGCCTTGAATGACATATTAAAATTTTAGAAAAGTAGTGGCAGTATTTCATGTTTTTACATGAGGTACATCTTCCATGGTGGGTAAAGACTTCTAGTGTCTCACTTGCTAAAGTAAGTGAATATCATTGCAGTGTAATAATTGAAAGCTATATTATGAATCCCTTATAACCTGTGGTTACTTCTTGACTGATAACATAAAAAAAAATTAAAGCTGGCTGCCTTGCTCTTGCTTTCCAAATAAACATATTTGAAACATTATGAAGGACTAATATAAAAAATTAATGAAGCTTATGAAATTGCCACAATACAATATTAGTATTTCTCTAATCAGTATGAATCTAATGATAATATCTCATTAATTGAAATTTCATGGCATAAAAAAGTTTTATGTCATATCCAGCAGGAGGAAAAATTAAAATATCTTAAGAAAATTTGTTTATGGGAAAGTACATACACATTAAAAAGGCAATTTAGGCAAAAAAAAGTTCCCTTTTCTTATATACTAGCTACTAGTTTTCTTTTCTATAAGAATGGTTAATGGCTTAAAAAAAAAAGCCAAATAAAAGGTCATGTAAGGCTATAGGAAGGCAATTCTGTTAGAAAAGGTTTATGCAATCTGCTGTCAGCTGGTAACTTTTTTTCCAGTGGTTAATGTTAAATGTTTGAAACAAATAAATATGCTAGGCATCAAAGGTCATATAGCACTATGGTAAAGTATTGTGTCGGAAAGGGTAAAGAAGTTAAAGATTATGATAAAATGTGTTAGATGTCAAAGATTAGAGAGCATTATAAGATAGTATGGTAGTGAAAAGGGGAAAAAAAAGGGAGTAAGAACTAGAGCAGAGATTAGTAGAAAGGGAAAGTTAAGGAGGTAGGCCAACTGAGTGAATTATAGTGTAACTGTCACTGGGGAAGATGGAGGAAAAATGTTCAAGGAAAAATAGAGATGAATGTTGGAAAAGTTGGTGAAGAATCTGCCGAGACGGCAAGGTGTTAGGTGTCAAAGATGTGAGGGTGTTATAGAAAAGTATGGTAACAAAAAGGGAAAAGAAGGAAGTAAATGAAGTAGAGCAGGGATTAGTAAAATGGAAAAGGTTAAAGGAGTAGAGCGATTGAGTGAATTACACTGTATCTGTGACTGGGGAAGGAATAGAGACATTGTTCAAGGAAAACAGAGGTGGCTGTTGGAATTTTTTTTTTCTAATAAATTCAAATTGGATTTGTAATTGCAATATTGGAGATTTCCTTGGCATTCACAGCAGAGATTGGTTTAAAAAGAAAATTGAGAAAAGAGAAGTGTGTAAAATATTGATATTCCATAACCTAAACTCTAGACAACATCCTAATGTGGGAAGATTTAAACTCAAATCTACCAAAGAACTGATACATAGAAAATTATATATGCATTTTAGTTGAGGGGTTTGGTCATGAAGGGTGCAACAGTTTTAATTATTCTAGACCTTCAAAATTTTCATAATGGGCAACTTTGGTCATTTAGACCTAGAATTGTGCTCTTTACAAAGCTCCTTTGGCCCACATCCAACCTTAAAAACATCCTTAGCATCCAGCACCTGATCTCATTTCTCATTTGTTTAAATTGACAGGTTGAAATAAGAGAGAGAGCAAAAAATATGTATATATACTTATATTACCAATAAAAAAAATACATGAAATAAGATACTTCCGTTGTGACTTGGTAAATTATGTTTTCATTTTTTTAACACATTGAATGCAATGCTTTATAATAATCAAGAGTCAAATTATGATCTAAGGAAACAGTCATACATACATACATACATACATACATATACATACATACATATATATATATATATATATATATATATATATATATATATATATATATATATATATATATATATATATATATATATATATATATATTTGTGAACAGTATAGGTTTATGGCAGTTATTACACAGAGTAATGGAATAAGAATACAATATCAGTGTGTTTTAATATAATACTATCTTGAACTATCTTTCTTCTAGTATACCAGTTGTTATATACATATATTTTTTCCTGTAGTACATTTCTTTGCCTATACATGTGCATATAGAGAGCAAGCTGCAATTACAGAGCAAAAGAGAGAGAGGCAATTGGAAAAATGGAATATTCATATAATAAAAAAAGAACCTAAAAAGTCAAATATATATATATATATATATATATAATATATATATATATGGCATATATATATATATATATATATATATATATATATATATATCTATATATATATATATATATATATATTATATATATATATATAGTATATATATATATATATATTAGTATATATATATATACATATATATATATATATATATATATATATATACTATATATATATATATATATATATATATATATATATATATATAATATATATATATATATATATATATATACATATATATATATATATACATATATATATATATATATATATATATATATATATATATATTATATATATATATATATATATATATATATATATATAGTATATCAGTGTCTGGAATGAAAATATATTTTCATTATAGTACTACTAATGACAACAGATTGTCTGAAAAACGATTATCACACATGGAGAGTACGACCAATTTGCGTAATGGGAGAGAGGTGCAAACACAAACTCCTTAGAGTGTGCTATCCTCTAAAAGGTGCAGATTATGATACACACCTCCTAATGATAAATGCACTGTTAATATAAATACTGAAATGATCATGTGGACACTGTCACCTGAGTATGCTTTTCAATACTTAAATCTGATTTTACAGTTCTTGTTGAGTATTTAGCCAAGTAGTCTACAAGTGTTATGTTCCTGATTTACCACAATAAATTCTCAATTGTATAAATGAGTTTTTCTTTAAAATCTGACTAGTTTGCGTTATACATTCTCAGACGTATTCTTCCATACATAACTAGCAAGCTGTTATTAGTGTATGATAATAATTCATAAATGCAAGATATATCTTAGAGCAGCACATGTCCCAGCTCTTGAACTAATGAAGACCATAATATGAACATGTAAAGTAAAATGTTCTTAACATGTGTGCACCTTTCAAATGGCAGGCATAATGGTATGTAACAAGCTTTTATGATCTGTTTATATAATTACAGAGTACAAATAGAAATGTACAATAAGCAGATGTAATGACTTTAGAACAGTGAAAAAAAAAGGCAACAACCATACAACAAACATGAGGATATTTTGTGAGGTATCAGAAAGGTTGTATTGAGGAAGGTTTTTAATATTTTAGGTGTACAGGTTTAGCATTTTCTTCTCTCTCACTGGCAGGATTTGGCACTGCAAAATCATGATGTGTATATTTTTTTTCTAGCTTACACTCCACAGCTACAAAATAGATTTTTATTCATCTTTAAAAATATACACACACAAAAAAAGAATCAAATCCTAAGTATAAGTCATGTCTGCTTATATTTACAAAATTGAGAAAATATTGAGGGTAACATACAAACCAGAACTGGAAGAATTCCCTTATCTTAAATATCATTGTTTTCTGCATATAACTTCTCTTGGTATAAGAAAAGAAAAGAAAAGGAGAGAGGGGGGGGGGGGGAGGGGGGGAGGGAGGGAGGGGGAGGGGGAGGGAGGGAGGGAGGGAGGGAGGGAGGGAGGAGGGAGGGAGAGGAGGAGAGAGAGGAGGAGAGAGAGAGAGAGAGAGAGAGAGAGAGAGAGAGAGAGAGAGAGAGAGAGAGAGAGAGAGAGAGAGAGAGAGAGAGAGAGGAGAGAGAGAGAGAGAGAGAGAGAGAGAGAGAGAGAGAGAGAGAGAGAGAGAGAGAGAGAGAGAGAGAGAGAGAGAGAGAGAGAGAGAGAGAGAGAGAGAGAGATAACACTTAATTACAATTCACAGTTGGAGTCAAACCTAAATGTTTATGCCCGACACCTCAAGTGTACAAAAGAGTTGAAATCCATAAATGCAGTATTGTATGATACCTATGACAAGATATTAAACTAGAAAACATACAGTCATACATATTGTTTTGAGATATTTGAAATTTGGCATTTACATTATCTTTTTGGAACAAAAACTAAGTCATGATTCATAATTAGTCATCAACTTTTCTTTAAAAGAATGCACACACACACACACACACACACACACACACACACATATATATATGTATATATATATATGTGTGCGTGTGTGTGCTCCTTATTTCCATAAGTTCAACATTTACATACTCCCCTGCATATATAAGTTATCTCTCAATAATTCCGCAAAAAAATAAGGAAAGAATTACGATGTGAGGTATATCAGGAGGAAGATAAACAGAGCAAGAACAGATAGGCACAACTTGCTACATCAAAAAAGAAAAAATCATATGCCACCCCATTAAGAAAAAGAATATGGATTTAATTTACACCAGTTCTCACCATACCTGAGCTCTCCGATGATGAAAAGTTACTCGTAAAATAATATTTCAGAACAAAACTCTGCACTGTGGTCAGGAAACAATCACACACAATAATATGTACACATAACTGAGATGAAAATATTATTGTGGCAGCATTTTCGTTCACTGAGACCAGTCTTTGAAAACATTTAGACATGATTTAAAAAAAAAGAGTATACATCATATTATTTAAATGCATCATGAAAAAAAATAAACAAATAAAATAAATAAATAAACACACAAAACTAATATATATGGAGATAGATAGATAAATAGATATACATATATGTACATACATACATACATATATATATATATATATATATATATATATATATATATATATATATATATATATATATATTATATATATATATATATATATATATATATATGCAAATAATTAACAAAACCTTTAGCCATAATTAATCATAAAAGTAGACAATATATCATAACTCTCTTCATATATCTAAACACAAGACGACCAGTTACAATCTCATTCATTGAATTCAGAAACTAAACAAAAGATCACTTTCAGAACAATCATACTCTCTTCATGTATAAAAGGAGTACATAACCTTGACAGGACCATTAAACAATGTGCATAGGAAGACCATTTTGCCCATGGAGAAACAGCAAGAAATAATAATAATAATAATACACTATGTTGGGCAGACATCAGGTCCCAATCATTCATGGCAACACCTTAACACTGCCGCTGAGAACAAAACTCTGAGATATTATTAGGCAAAGGCTTCTACCTTGTCTAAGGAGGTTCATGTTCCCCTCCAATCCCAGAAGTCAGGTGTTCATATCAAGGAAATGAACCACAGTCGACATTAGGAAGGACGAGCAATCAGGCCAAGTGGTAACACCTAAACCAAATTCCTATAAGGGTACTGCCTAAGCTTTATACAAGGGATTCCATTGATTTCAAAATGAGATCATGCTATCAAAACTGCACACAGGAAGACCAGATTACTCAACAAGAACAATCTTACAAATAAATATAAGGAGTAAAACCCATTTTTACCTGTAACCAATTTACATCAAGTGATATCTTATCATGTCATGGTGAAAATTTCAGTGATACAAAATGACATCTTATCATATCATGAGCCCAGTTCTTGGTGGTCTGGGTGATGCCTCTGGTTTTTGTCTGGCCACAAGTCAAACTTACTGGAAATTTTAACCCTTGTGAATGGGGTTAATTAGTTCCCTAAAAGTGTCATGGAAACAAAAAGATCATCTAGACACTAAACAGGCTGGAAGACTAGTAATAAAACACTAATAACAAACACAAAAACACACCCTATGGCATGACTCCCACTGCACTGAAGCTGCACACTCAAATTCTTTCCATACCCATCTACAAATGGAAAAACAGAACCCTAATGGCCAGTTTGCTAAAATTGTGCAAGGTCCGACCTGATTGATATTCATATTTACAGACATGCATTTAAAAAGAAATAAAAGTATCTGTTGATCTATCAGATAGATAGATATTCATCTATCTTTCAATCTGATAGAAATGCATGTCTAGACTGATAAATATGTATTAATTTCTGTGTATATGCACTGGGTCGGTCCTTGCTCAATTTTAACAAACTGGCTGTAGGCCAGTCATAAAAACTGTCATCCACAGGACAACCCCAAAAACATAAACCCCAAGTGACTAGTTAGTTGTGATAATCTTTGCATGAAAGTTTTGTGTGTTCCTTGTGTTGTGATAATCCTTACTTCACTCCCACCTACACACTAACAATTTGATTACTCAAGAATATCCTCTTAACACATGCAACCTTTGGCAACTCATAATCTGCCACTCAAATAAAAATTTAAAAATACCAATTTTTGTCAATCTTGAAGAATATCTAATAGAAATATGCTACATGTATAAATCTTTACCAAAAAAATTACATATATTTTTAAATATTAAATTTTATATACTTAGAGAGAGAGAGAGAGAGAGAGAGAGAGAGAGAGAGAGAGAGAGAGAGAGAGAGAGAGAGAGAGAGAGAGAGAGAGAGAGAGAGAGAGAGAGAGAGAGAGAGAGAGAAGAAAGAGAGAAAGAGAGAGAGAGAGAGAGAGAGAGAGAGAGAGAGAGAAAGAGAGAAAGAAAGAAAGAAAGAAAGAAAGAGAGAGAGAGAGAGAGAGAGAGAGAGAGAGAGAGAGAGAGAGAGAGAGAGAGAGAGAGAGAGAGAGAGAGAGAGAGAGAGAGAGAGAGAGAGAGAGATTTAAATTACAGCAAGAGTTCAATCTAGTATATTACATCTTGTTTCCTCTTATAACTTTTTTTTTTCTCTAGGAGTAGCTTATACAATCATTACCAGTATTTCTGAATGGCACAATTTTTGCATATGATTTTTTATTTTCTTTAGTTAATTTACAGCATAATAAAATACAGTGTTGTGGTTCTGATATCACAAAATTCACCAGCCTATCTAATATATGTTTTTGCACAGACATGGAAGTTTGACACGACTAGTATTGTCTCTCGTCTATGGGATTGATGAGTCATTGCGCACACAACATTTTGACGCTGGTACATTCCAATTGTATTTATAAGATTTACGCACTTGGAACTGTTCCTTGCAGAGAAGTCCAGTGGCTTTTAAGGAATTGAATTTTTCGCGCATATGCAGTGTGCTCTGTTTGTGACTAACTAAATACTCATTGTTACAGCCTCTAGAAACATATTCTGTGTCGAATCTCGTGTCGTGGACTCGATGCAGGTCAACTGAGGCCAACCAGACTCCTAGCGATACGTCCTCATTTTTGTATAGCTTGAGGTACTTGGAGTTCACTGCTACAAATGTCACTAAATCAGATGAGAGAACATATCCTCCGCCTAATGCATATGGCAAGTAATGATCGCACAGGACCCATTCATTCTCCTTCCACACTCCTTTCTTATGTGGAGTTGCTCTGCCGTCAAAGAAACCCCAGTAGAGACGCTGTTTGTAGGGCACTGCCTTGAGTTCTTTGTGTAGTTGTGGGATCTGGACATAAGTATCATCATCGCATTTCATGAGGAACCTAAATTTGACATTGTAGTGGACATAAACCAGAGATGCCAATAGTTTCTTAGTCAGGGCGCTGTATGAGTCAATAACATTGTTCAGGAGCAGCAAATCTCCGAACCTCCTCTGTTCCGACTGAATTGTAACATTGACGTTCTCGCTGAGGCTCCCAGTGCCAATGACAAAGTAGTGAAGCGTATCGGACTTCTCTTCACTAAGCCATGTCTGCCTGATGGTGTCTCTCTGCTCGGAATTGCCTGGCGCTGATATCACTATGATTACTAGAAACACACTCTTGCCCGGGCCCTTGGCATTCTGGCCCCACATGCCTAGCCAGCTGTTCGAGTCCTCCACATCAATACGCTTGATTTTTTCTGTGCACTGGTGGATGTTGCAGCTCATTGGATCTACGGACATGAGGGTCAGCAAGCTCCCGCAGATGAAGGCTCCAATCCATGACAGCAGGTACACAAAATTGCGGAAGGGACGGCGGCAGCAAGGGAGCCCACTTGCCTGACGCACCAAGCCCATTGTGTACCTGGAAGGGAATGTGCACAAACAATAATAATGAGTACATAAGAAGTCAGTTAGAATGATCATAAATACTTAATTTATAGTTGATCCATTCTGTGAATCTAGCAATGTAAAAAACTGCATCTAGAAGACTTAGAAATTACAAGTTACAAATGCATACTTATAAAATATACAGTTTCAAATTCTCAATAACTTTTTACTATTAAACACATAAAAATCATCAACTTATGGAAGAACATTCTCCAAATTATTTATATGAAGAAAGTTAACTATGATGCCACTGTATTCCCCCCAAAAAGGAAGCAAAGAAAACTTTAAAAGAAAATACTTATTCCCACTAAAGAATTCAATTCATCTCTTCCTTTAGGTTCTATAAATAAATCCCTAGCTATACTGCTCAGTGTGTTAGACATTCATTCAGGAGTTATTAATGTAATTACAATAGAGAGCGAGAGAGTGAATGTGAGTGAATGTAAGTGAGCGAGAGTGAGTGAGTGTGAGTGTGAATGAGTGAGTAAGTGAGTGAGTGAGTGAGAGAGAGAAACAGTACAAATACTTATACATGCTTGTGATTTGTCGCCATTCGGCAAAGCACAAAATACAGAGGTCATGGCAACTGCCTAAAAGTGTCCGTATCAGGTAGAACTTTCCATCAAAGGGGGAATGGATAGAACAACATACTATTACCCTATTGGGAGCTCTGCCCCGAGACCCCCACCCACTTGCCATATTTCCCTACCAGTGGCTCCATCCCAGGAACCCCTCCCAGTCGCCATATTTCCCTATCAGTGGGTCTGGCTCTCAACACCCTTCCAGTTACCATATTATCCTAATGGGATCTCTGTCTCCAGATCCCCTCCTGGTCACCGTATTTCCCTACTGGGGGCTCCACCCCAGGACCCCTTACTATTCGCCATATTTTCTTAACCCATTAGTGACAGGTGTCCCATATATGAGACACCCGAAATAAATAAACATTGCATCCCGTCAATGTGACGCTGTATTGGGGCTGCGCTCCAACGCAGCAGCGGGCCACAGCCGGTGGGTAGACAGACTCCGGGAAGCTCCGCCCGCCGATTTTGTAGCCGCCCGGAATATTTTATTTTTGGCTTCAAAATACCCCAGCGTGAATGGGTTAATGGGGATGCTGCCTCTGGGCCCCTCCTGAATGCCACCAACTGTCCAATCAGAGATACAAATTAGGTTTACCTCACAGTAGTACTAAGGGTAGCTGGGATGTGACGAAGCTCCTACAAAGTTCTGCAGCTGGAATTTAGTGTTATACCGCATATAGAAACAATTTCAATAGGAGATCGTTTTCACTGGAAAGCTGGGAAAGAATTCAGAAACACAGGTAGCAATGTAAACAAACTTCACTTTTGGAATGAGTAAGGAGGACTGTGACAATGGAGCTGTGAAAATTTGCTGGTAGATGGCTGAGCACGTGCAAGTAACATGTAGAGTTTCAGCTCTATCTTGCCGTACATATGAGGTGAAGAGAATGTTTCCTAGGGAGTGTTGGAGGGGAAGAGCAACCCTCCCCTCAGACACACCCAGTCACAGCAACTTCAGTTAATGATTAAATTTTGTGACATGAAATTTGGGACTTCATCTCTGGCGTGTGTCTGTACAATACAGAATTACCATTCAAGTAATTAGCATATGCTGCACCTGGCACTTATAGATTGCTCAAGACCAAAGGGATATCAATTATGCAGACTGTTCTTGACAGATGTGTAATGAAACTGTATATCCGTTTGTATGTGTAAGTCATTTGGTTGTGCCAGTCACATATGTTGCTGTACGTTGTATTCATTCTCACTAATACCCTTTCTAGATTTGTCAAGGAACTCTCCATCCCGCACTTCTGCCTCTCTCTCTCTCGTATTTAGACAACAGTGCAAATCTTATTTAGCCATAATATACGATATCTGCCAGAGCACAAAGTACAAAGGCCGCGACAGTCGCCTAATAGCGTGCCACTATCAGGTTGGACTTCTGAATGTACTCCTTCCATCAAGTAGATATCAAGTGGAACAGATAGAACATACTAGTCAATATAACTAAGGAAGATAAAAATCCTTTTGAAAAGCCACTACGGGTGTCTTCTGCGCTGTTCCTAAAATTTTTCAGCGTAGCTTCTTTAACCCGTTATCTCATCACGAGAAATATTACAAACATTACCTTAAAGTCAAAGGATTTGCATTTAAAATTCCCGAGGCGAGACTCAGCTGTCAGACGAGTCTTGTTTTGATTTGAGATCCGATTGTCTTAAATCAGGGTTATGAAAGCAACGAAGTTCTGCATACAGAATGTTTCCTAAGGTTTTATATGATACATTAGTGTAATTAAATAATACCATTTACCATGATTTCATTAATGATATAAATCTAATCACCCGTGTTGTCCTTTCTTATGATTCGTGTATCTAATTGTTTGTAACTTTACTTGCCCAACGTATCACAACCTGGATTTATCTTGTGCTAATCGTTCGATATTCTCATTCAAATCTTGATTAAAAACACAAATAATTGAACTGCACATAAAGAGATATATCGCCTGAATTATTCCTTCTGAAAAAAAACACAACAAAATTATTATTTTCTTCTAATAAGGAAAACAATAGAAACTAAACTACTATTTTCGTCGGCTTAAAATCGATAAATCCAATATTCTATAATGCATAAAACAATATTATAGAAAGAATATCAATTAATTTACTTACACCACTTTTACTTTTACGTATATATAGTATATATTAGACTTCATAGATTCCGTTACGAGCGCACCGTGGGAGTTATTGATCAGTTGTCTGCTAGAAGAAGCCACAGTCATCTGACAGAGGAAACGGACACCACCATCCGAGGTCAGGAAAGGGTAAATTTCTAAGTATATGTTAGTTTCTTAAGTGAAATCTGTGTGTTTTAATGTCGTAGGAAATGCTATGATATGTGTTATATCAATACGAAGACAATTTCCAGATCAGACTTGAAATTTTATTAAAGACGTGCAGATGAACTAGTATTGGGTATGCCTCTGTTAAAATAATCCAATTATTTCGTTACTTTTTAATATAATCGTTTCGTTTTTTTTCGTATTAGTAATGAATCGGGCAAATTGCTGATCTGAATCCGTTCAAAATTACCGAAGAGAAAAATCATCACCATTATTATCATTACACTTTTTTTATCAATCCTATTCCTGAAATAATAGAAACTACAAATATTATTACATATTTTGGATAGAATTGTCAATATTCCATGTGAAAAAAAGCTGTCTATGAACCGTCTTCATTGTGACAAATGTAGAAAAGGTATGAATGAGAATATTCACAATACAAGAGATGCAGTTGACCGGT